TTTTTATTTTTATTTTTTTTTTCAATTTTTATTAGTGAAACACCATGAGGTACAGTTGTAGACGTACAAATTTTTGTGCTTGGGTTTCAGTTATTCAATGATTGAGTACCCATGATTCTGTTTTTTTATAGTTTATTTTCGTGGTTGATTGCTCACATTGAACACACTTCTGGCCAGTGCTCAGGCTCACCCCTGGCAGTGCTTTGAGAGACCACGCGTGTTGGAGATAAAACCGAGTGCTCCTAATATAGAAAGCATATGCTTCAGCCCCAGTTTTACTAAAATGAGGAATAGTATGCCTTTCTGGACAGGAGGACTTGAGTAGAAAGTGAAGATCCATATTCAAATTGTGTTTGTACTAGAATTTTGAAGTTTATAGAATCCTATTTTCTTGCATAATATGACAGCCTCAGATTTTATGAGTATGCTGGGAAATAAATAATCTTAAAGTAAGTGCTATATTATGGCCTGCAATATGTGGACAAGACACACATGAACTAGAGATATTACATATTGTAGTCTTTTTATGTTTGATAGTGAAATAATTTTTGTATTCTTTTAGTACATATTAATGGTGGGTTCTTAGCCGTAGATAGCTTTGTATTAAATGGTGTTGCATATATCTATACAGTAAATATACTGTGTGTGCCCTAAACTTAGATATATGTGTATGCTTTTGGAAATGACTTTGTTTAAACCAGTGTTTTTATTTTTATATTTAGCACTGTAGCACTGTCTTCCCATTGTTCATCGATTTGCTCGAGCGGGCCCAGTAACGTCTCCATTTTGAGACATTACAAACAAACACATTGTTACTGTGTTTGGCGTATCGAATACGTCACAGGGAGCTCGCCAGGCTTTGCCGTGCGGTTGAGATACTCTTGGTAGCTTTCTGGGCTCTCCTAGAGGGGCGAGGAATCGAACTCTGGTCGACCGGGCTGGCTGAGCTCAAGGCAAACGCCCTACCCGTTGTGCTATCGCTCCAGCCCTTCAGTTGGTGGAGTAATTTGTCTGCTTAATTTTTATATTTATGAAGGAAAAATTTTTATATTTGTGAAGGAAAAATTTTATTGTACTTCAAGAATAAAGAGAATTTCTAAGTGCTTATAAAATTAATCTTTCATTATCTTTTACCATTCAAATGAGCTGTGAACAGCATGGCTGACATACAAATGCATCTTTGTTAACATTCTTCTAAAGTAATTATTGTTTAAGGATGGCGAGCCATATTTCAGTTATTGTTTAACAGGTTTTAATGCCTTGTTTTGACTGCATGCCTACAAATGGCAGAGGGAGAAGAGTTTCAGGAAAAAACCCAGGTGGTGTGTAAAACTGTGCTATGACACTTCGCACTTTAAGTTTTAAGCTCCCTTCAGTAAAAGGGAACTCCAAGAAAGGACCATAGCTATAAGTCATTCTCTTTTTACACCTAGCTTCTGCTTCATGATGCTTTGGCAGATAAATCTATCACATGTGTATGAGTTACTCTTAAGCAAATAATGAGGAAAGAAAGACTTATTTAAAAATTAAAATTCCTGGGAGATTTTTTTTTTTATAATTTTATTTATTGAATCACCATGAGAGCAGTTACAAAGCTTTCGGGTCTAAGCCTCGGACATACAATGAAACACCCATACCTTCACCAGTGCCCATTCTCCACCCCCAACAACCCCAGTATACCCCCAACCCACACCCTCCCCCTACCTGTGGGGCAGATGATTTCCACATTACTCTCTCTCTACCTTGATCACATTCAATATTTCAACACCACACCCACCATTATTATTTGAGATTTTACCCCAACACTCAGATCTGCTGAAAAGGCAACAATAGACAATTTGTTTTCTATTGCTGGTTATGAATAACGTATGATGTCATGTGGCTGCAGTAGTGGCTGCACAATTTTGAAATTCTGAAATTTTAACACTTAAATCTGGAGGGATTTCTGCCAAGACCTGCTGGGTTCTGAGATTTGCTCCTGAGTCTCTGGAATCATGGACGTTAAGAAGCTTGATCAGGAGCCAGAAAAGCCGTTCGTGGGCGATGACTTGGGGTCTCATTGGAGTGGGGAGGACAGGACCGGCTCCACCCCCATTCTCTGAGGCCCAAAATGTCTCATCACTGCGGGCCCAAACCTGACTGTCCAATGGCTTCTGAAGGATCATGGCCACCAAGCTGTCAGGGGAAAGCAGGCGGAGGGACAACACCCTTTCCCCCCTGGGGTGGCCCGGCGACAGTAACCTACTGCGTGGTCTGGATGCATTTCTGCCAAAAGCCGCTGGGTTTCGAGATTTGTTTCTGAGTCTCTGGGATTATGGCCGTTAAGCAGCTTCATCAGGAGCCAGGGAGGCCATTCGTGGGCAATGAGTTGGGGTCTCGTTGGGATGGGGAGGACAGAACCAGCACCCCCACATCCATGAGGCCCAACAAGTTTCGTCACTGTGGGCCCAAGCCTGACTGTCCAGTGGCCTCTGGAGGTTGGCGGCCACCGAGCCGCCAGGGGAAAGCAGGCGGAGGGACAACACCCTTTCCCCCTGGAGTGGCACGGCGACAGTAACCTACTGTGGGGTCCGGACATATTTCTGCCAAAAGCCACTGGGTTTCGAGATTTGTTTGTGAGTCTCTGGGATCATGGCCATTAAGCAGATTGATAAGGAGCCAGAGAGGCCGTTCGTGGGCAATGACTTGGGGTCTCTTTGGGGTGGGGAGGACAGGACCGGCTCCACCCCCATCCCGTGAGGCCCTGCATGTCTCGTCACTGTGGCCCCAAACCTGACTGTCCAATGGCCACTGGAGGATGGCAGCCACTGGGCCTCCAGGGGAACAGGCCAAGTCATGAAACCTATTCCCACCTGTGTTGGCCCAGCACTGGTAACCTACTGCAGGGACCGGACCATTTCTGCCAAAAGCCACTGGGTTTTAAGATTTGTTTCTCATTCTCTGGGATCATGGCCATTAAGCAGTTCAATCAGGAACCAGAGAGGCCATGCGTCCAATTATATAGCTGAGCCAGAGGTGGTTTGTGGGTGTGTTTCCCACATACCTAACTTTTGGCCGTTTACTTTCTTGGTAAACTTTGTCCCAAGTTTTTGGGGTCTGGCCAAAGGCACAGCAGTAATTTAGGGGTATCTGAAAGTCTGACGGTGCCATCAGGCTGCTGATGCACTCGCCTCACAGGTACAGATTGACCTGCTGGAGGCACCATACCCCCTATCCTGGGAGATTTGTTTTAAAACAGAACAGCAGAAGAAATTGTGACTTTTGCTGCAGGAGAAATATTGATTGGAGTGTTATTTGCCCTTAGGTCCTGGCTCCGACAGCCTGGCTACATGGAGAGTGAGTCCTGCTGCGGCCCCACTCACTCTCCCTGAATGATCACTTGTAGTCTGGGCAAAGATAAGTGCTCAGTGCTTGATGGTTTCATGATTCCAGGAGATTCTGGCTGGTTTCTGTTTTCTGTAAGCCAGGGCAGTTTTGTCTTATTTTGGCCCTCTTTGTAAGATTTTTTCTCTTTGCTAATTTTTTTTCTGATTTGACAGGTGGGTATAGGGCATTAGTTCTGAATAACTATGGCTCTGAATAACTATGGTCCAAACCTTATTTATATATAACATGATTTTGGAGGTGTTTTATACCAGTGACTTTATTTTTGTGTTGTAGAGGTGTCAGTATTTTGATTCTTACAAAACAGTTTTTAATATTTTCGTTTTAACCCAGTTCAGTTTCTGTAGAAGTATATCTTGTTATACTAAAAAGTATGTTAAAAACCCTTTACTTGGTGGTCCCTTCTCTATCTGAGCTACCTTTTCCCCCAGCATGTGAGACTGTCTTCTAAGCTGTGGAATAATTCTCCTGGTACTTATCTCTACTGTTCTTGGATGTTAGTCTCCCATTCTGTTACTTTGTGTTCCACAAATGAGTACAACCTATGTCTGTCCTCTCTTTCTGACTCATTTCACTTAACATACTTTCCATGTTGATCTACCTATATGCAAATTTCATGACTTCATCTTTTCTAAAAGCTGCATAATATTCCATTTTGTAGATGTAGCAAAGTTTCTTTAACCAGTATCTGTTCTTGGGTACTCGGGTTGGTTTTTTTCCAGATTCTGGTAATGCTTCTACTGCAAACCACAACACCTAAAAGGAGAAAGAGAGCAAAAGAGAATGCCCTGCCACAGAGGCGGGATGGGGTGGGAGTGGTGGGAGGGATGCTGGGACCATTGGTGGTGGAAAATGGGCACTGGCGGAGGGATGGGTACTCGAGCATTGTGTGACTAAAACGCAAGCTCGAAAGATTATAAGACTGTAACTGTACTTAACGGTGATTCACTAATAAAAATTAAAAACAAAAAGTATGTTAATTGATGTTTCTATTTGCATTTACAATTTAGGAACTTGTTCATTTTTTGCATATTGATGTAGCCATTTTTAGTCTTTTAAGTAAAACTTGTAATTGCCTGGTCCTCTATTAGTAGGGTTTGGGAGCAGAGAAAATAGTGACAAACTTGTTTATTTACAGTTTATTACAACTCAAGCATGTTTTCTTTGTTCATCCCTTTAAAAAGAAAATCCATAGAACTTTCCATTAATATGTAAAGAAATTATAAAACTAATCTTTAAGATTGATAAGGAAACTACATTTGGTTAAGAGAGAGATGGAAAAACAAAGAACCCTACTATATACATACCTCACCTGAGGCCCCAGGTACAATTCTTGGTTTCCCATGGGCCTCACCTCCCTGCTATGCCGTGTGCCCTAGTATTCCCAGAACCAGAGGACCTCAGCAGCAAACTATTGGGCCCATACAGGGACCCCTGTAGGACTAAGGAAGACTTAAATAAAAGGAACACTTCTGCTGTTTAACTTTTCAAGCAATGAACAAAGACCTAGGCTATGAATGGCCATTTATTATTTTGTGTATTCATTAGTTGAGGTAATTGTGCTCAGTTATCAGAACTGACAAATGACCTCTTTCTCTCTTTTTTTTTTCCTCTAGGGTTTTACAGACAGTCCTCATTTCAGCGACCACTTGAATGACAGTCGCTTAGGGGGCCATGAAGGCTTGTCCCCAACACCTTTCATGAACTCAAATCTGATGGGTAAGTTGATAATTCTGTGCAAGAAATCTTCTCAAAGACTTTTTGGTTTGAGACATTTCATCCTTTTGTCCAGGAAGAACACATAACTATAAGGAAGTTCCTGAGTTGCTTAGGGTACCTGACTCAGTTTGAAAAGCATGCATGGAACATTGTTGTCATTGGTATCAAAAAAGGGGTGTTCATGTAAGTGGTATCTTGTGATCTCAAATATTATGTTTTCTGCTTCCTGGGTAGAGAAATATTTTGGTGACAACTATGATTTACTGTTTGTCTTAGCAGTGGAATATGTTTGATCATTAAAGGTGTGTCAGTAACATTAGCCAATCTTTGGGGAGCTATTTGACTAAAATCTTGTTGTGCATTTAGCTGTTGTACGGTGAATAGACCATTTACCTTGCATACAGCTGACCTGTTTCAGTTACCTGAGCAGTGCTGGTTTTTTGTTTTTTTAAGATTACTTACTACCCAAACCAGCTTATTACTTTGTCATTACCTTATGGTTTGCCATTCTCTGCATCATTGTATGATAGTTCAGAGCTTTCAGTCTGAAATGATAGGCTCAAATCTTTTTTTCCCAGTTTGGATGCAATAATTTTACCCTTTTTTGGGTAAAATCTGATTCAAAAGAATCTACTTTATGATAGTTTTTTCTTTTCTAGGCTGGATCTAAGCACATCTTAAAGCTTTATTTAATTTATCTTGCTGATTGTAGAGTCAAGTAAATATATAAAGTTATGCTATTGACATTAATTTTATTATTGTAGAAGGATGTGACTTATATTATGGTTTTAGTGTTGTCCTTTTAAGACAGAGCCTTGCTAATCAAGGTAGATTATCCAAATCCCAAATTCTCGTGGTCTATAGTTTATAAATTGCTTTGCAGTCTTTTATATTTTTCTTAATCTCTTATAAAAAGTGTTGAGGAGACATCGTCTAATAGTCTATTGTGGATTTTACCTAAGACAGTTGCCAGTTTAAAACCAGAATCATGGAGTATTTAAATAGAAGTAAAATATCTATATCTATAGATACATATATATGTGTATATATATATATACACACACACACACACACACACACACACATATATACATTCTGGTTTTAAACTGGCAACTGCCTTAGGTTTATATACATACATATATATATAAAACAGTGAAAATTGTATTTAAAATCCCATGTTCTAACATAAATGCAAAGAAAGCTATGGAATTTGGTACATTATAATTCCCGTAAAAATCTATTAGAATCAGATTAGAACAAAATAGTTATCTTTGCATTCGGTTAGAGAAGCTTTCTAATTTATCTTTCTGATTTTCTGTTGAACTTAATATCAAAACAAAATAGATGTCTCTCCACGTTTCTTTTTCTAGTGTGACTTCCCCTATCTATTTATAGTAAACGTGAAATGCAAGCCATAGTGATTGTTTTTGTAATTTTAGATTGCATTTGGTTTTCTTAATTGAGGCTTAACTCTGAATTGTGAAAAATCAGAAATTGCCTTTTTCTGCTTATGTTCTTACCTCTGCTCATAGCTCACAGAAATGACTCTTAAGCCCAGTAGAATTAGAACAGCTTTGAGTCAAGGAGACTCTTGGTCGAGCTATCTTTCCTGCCCCCAATTAGAATACGCTGAGTAGTCATCCATACTATATTTAATGCATTTAGCATCTTCAGTAAGTCTAAAATAAAACAACTTACTCAGAAACAGATTTTTTTCACAGTATAACTGAAAAAAAATGCTTATTAATCTGATATGAGTATATTTTTCTGCCTATTTTAGCTACATAATCATCAAAGTTACTCACTCTTTAAAAGTTTATTTACATTTACTTGAAAAGGGGAAACTATCACTGACTAGATTAGGCAGATAAGTTAAAAAAATATTTTGGTAGTCATTGGCAGTATCTATGTTAGATATATAGAATTTTTTATTTTCATTAAAAATGATTGAATTTTGGGGGCTGGAGTGATAGCTCAGCGGGTAGGGTGTTTGCCTTGTACGCGGCCGACCCAGGTTCAATTCCCAGCATCCCATATGGTCCCCTGAGCACCACCAGGGGTAATTCTTGAGTGCAGAGCCAGGAGTAACCCCTGTGCGTCGTTGGGTGTGACCCGAAAAGCAAAAAAAAAAGAAAAAAATTGAATTTTGTGGGGGCTGGAAAGATAGTATAGTGGTAAAGCATGTGCCTAGTTATCTGGGGCCCTGAGTTCTGTCTTGGTACCACATGACCCCTGCTGAGCACAGTCAATCCAAGCATGGAAATTTCAGGCCTTTCCACCATGTTGAGTATCATCAGGAACGACCTCACATATCCAGGAGCACCACTGACTTTGGCCTCAGCTGAAGATAAAAGCAATGGAAGAGGGCTTCCCAGAGGGCCAGGTTCAGTCTCTGGCACTCTGAGCACTGAGAAAGGAGGGATAGCATAGCTCTTAAATTATAAAACAGTTAGCATAGCAATAGGCGATCCTACTTGATGTGTGAAAGTAAGTGAAGAGACCTAGATATATGTGTTTATAGCACTCAGTTGAGTTATAATGAATACATTTCACTTTTCCAGCCATTTGATAATACAAAGGAACTTTAGGCCAACAATCTAAATATTTTAAGCATCCCTTAGATTAACATAGTAGTATTACAAGCATTTGAAACTGTTGATACCTAGTTAATTTTAACAGGTAGTATTTTAAATCACTGAATGATGAGTACACAAAAACAGTTAAAAATAATAGAAAAGTAGTAACATATTTCATCATTGTTGCCACCACATTAAAAAAAAAGTATCAAGAGGGGGTGAGAATCATATGTCTAGGGATTATTGTGTATTTGTGTATTATGTTCAACATGAGCACAGTTACCTGAAGAAATATAAAATGTCATTATCTTTTTTGATGGAGTTCTGAAACACTGTTGTGATTTTGGCACATGCAAAAATGAGAAATTTTGTTTAAAAGAATTGATAATGATTCAGTAATTACCATTGTGCCACAGGAACATGAATTTTTGTAATCATTTAGATAACTTGAAGTATTTTGCATGGGAAGTAAAGCTATTAGAACAGTTTCTTTTTAATAAATTTCATAATTATCCCATTAATTTGTCAGTAACGAAGAGAAAACTTTTTAAAGTTTCAAGTAAAATAAGTACATTATTTTGGTGTATTACTAATTAGCATCTAATTTTCTGTTATATCAGTTTTTATTTTTCTATTCTATTATGACTTTAGGTTGACCTTGCGACCACTCACTACTTATGGGCTGGAGCGTTTGCCTTGCACACTGCTGACCCGGGTTCTGGCAAGCTCCCCATGGTGAATTCGATGCCCAAAACAGTAACAAGTCTCACAATGGAGACATTACTGGTGCCCACTTGAGCAAATTGATAAACAATGGTGGGGATAGTGCTACAGTGCTTTTCTATTATAGTAGAACTGCAAAACTTTATAGCAATGTATTGTAATAGTGTCACTAAATAGTCTTATCTCTTTCTGGCCTCTTCCAGCTTTTCCCTATTAATTTTAGTAATACTTGATCTGCTTCTTTTTGATGATGGTAGTACCAGTTATCTTTCTCCTTATCTTTTCACTGCTGTTTGTGTTTTAATGCTTTATTTGGGGGCTGGAAAGATATCTCTGCTCTCTGAGGTGCATGACAGTGTTCCCCAAGACTGAACGTTGGCAATGTCAGACCCCGCCCCCTCCGCACCAGAACCATTGGAGCTTCTATTGATCCCTAGCACTTACACTAACACTCCAAAAGCCTACCATTGAGCCACCCACACCTGTTGACAGAGTACCTCTGGAGTGGCCCCAGGTCCCACATCAACCAAAAGACCACTTATGTTAGGGTATGTATACATGTATTATCAACAGGAAACGTAAGACACAGCATTGCCTCCAGTTTTCTTTTGTCTTGAGAAATTCAATTGATGTTCCTCACAAGGACTTATTTTGCTTCTATAGTTATTTGGCTGTTTAAAAAAAATTATAAGTGAAAATTAAAGATGTGGGGAGTATGAAAAAACTGCAGATTTGAGAATTAGGAGACCAGGATTTTAATCCAGATCCTTCAAATAATCTTTACCTTATTCATGGTGGCATTGCTAGATAATTACAAAGGTCTTCTGAAGCTCTTAAAGTTTATAGATTCTGTATAATCCTGTGTATATGATATCTTTTAGTCAACCCCCAAAACAGATTGCATCTAGAATTGTAATTGCAACTTTGCTAATGATGAAACTAAGATACAAAAAAATAAAAAATTTCTCCTCAAGGTCACAGTCAGTGAGCAAATTAAATCCATGCCACCAACTTTCATTAAATGTTTCTTCTCTTATTTACATTAAGAATATGAGCTTAATTCCTTTAATGTTCTTGTGTTTTTACAAGCTTAGCATGTTCCTATACTATAATTATGGAGACAGTGGTCTTAATAGATAACTACCAAAAAAAAAGTGTCTATGGGATCAGAGAGAGCATAGTGGGTAAGCTGCTTGATCCCCAGCCTGCCGCATAGTCCCCCATGCCTGCCAGCAGTGATTTATAAATGCATAGCACCTTCAGATGTGGCCCAGAGATTGCCCCCCCCCCAAAAAAAAGTCCATAGTGACAAAACTTTGAAAGTGTTGTATATTCTGTGCTCCCCTTTTAGAGGTTCAGATAGTGTTTCATGATATTGAAAACTCAAATGAAGCTACTTTAGCCTCTGGGGAACTTGGAACGCTTACTGGGAAATTTTATGTTTTATGTAAGGCAGGTAATACCTAAAAATTCTCTGACATGCAATATTGCACAATTTGGAGGGGGGGTAGGAGGGTACGTTGGGCCATTCCTGGCAGTGCTTTGGGACTTTTCGTGGAGTAGCTGCTAGCAGTGCCCAGAGGGTAGTCCTTAGTGCCAGTGACTGAACTAGACCAGCTGCATGCAAGAAAGAGCCTTACCTCCTGCGCTCTCTCCATCCCAGGGAGGCACAGTGTTCACCTAACTTGTGGTATATAATTT